AACTATGCTATACAAGGTATTCCTGTAAGTCCTTTTCCACCACTTGTCAACTCAGAGCTACACTCCAACTAGTACAGACGTATTGCACTCATTGCTTGCTACTACCAACAGTAACAAAACCTACAAGAATCTCGGAGACTAGTGTTTCCTTATTAGATCACATCTGGACCAACACCATATCCCCTTTAAAATCAGGCATAATCACAGATAACACCAGAGCACTGTCCAACCTTTCTCATAACCAATCTAGGTAAATTACCCCAAGACACTACTAAAGTTACCTTCAGACTTCATAATGAGACAGCTATTAATAACTTCATAACAGCAATGACAAACATCGACTGGCAAACCGAGCTAGAAATCTATAGATACTGACGAATGTATTAATAAATTTCTAAAAAAGACCCAACACCTCTATAACATGCATTGCCCTAAAAAAACTAAACAGATCAAAACTAAACAGTCCTTGGCTAACACCTAGCATCCTCAAATCCATAAATATAAAGCACCTATATGAAAAACAGTACAGAATGGGTCAAATAACCAGAGACCAAACAAAACGTTACTCGTCAATCCTAACCAGCCTGATAAGAAGGACAAAAAAATTGTATTATTAGAACAGATTACTTAACTTAAAAGGTGATATGAAAAAGACCTGGAAAACCCTATCTGAAATTCTAGGAACTAAAAAGTTATCAGGAAACAGAACAATCAAACTAACAAAACCAGATGAACCCCTACTCCCACCGACTGAAGCAGCAAACAGATTCAATGTTTTCTTCTCCACCATAGGAAAAAACCTGGCGAGCAAAATCCCAAGCTCAAACATCCCACCTAATGACTACCTCACTGGCACCTACCCGAACACACTATTCCTAGCTCAGACCAACCCAACAGAAGTCTCATTACCAACACACTAAAGAACAAGGCAGGAGATTTAAATAACTTACCACCCTTTATAAATAAAAAAGCTTCTCAAGTGCTGTCACCAATTACTGCAACACTCATTAACAAATCCATCGAATACTCTACCTTCCCCATAATTCTCAAAATAGCAAGGGTCACCTCGATACATAAAGGACGAGATCAAACAGACCTGAATAACTATAAGCCAATATCTAACTTACCCCTTCTCTCTAAAATCTTTGAAAAATTAATTCATAGGCAGATCTATTCCTACCTCATCTCCCACAACATACTCAGTTTGGGTTCAGGCCTAATAAAAACACAAATGATGCTATTATACACATGCTAAAACTAATATACACTGCACTTGAGAAAAAAGAAGTCCCATTGGGAATCTTCATTGATCTACGTAAAGCTTTTGATACAGATGACCATGATTTCTTGCACATAAAATTATCACATTATGGTATAAGAGGGCATTCCCTCAACTACCTAAAGTCATACCTTAGCAACAGAAGCCAATATGCAATATGCCTCGGAGGGAGACGGCCGACTTGTTGAAAAAAAAAAAATGGAGCTAACTCTTCCACACAACCAATTACAGTCGGTGTCCCACAGGGAAGTGTCCTTGGCCCACTTCTCTTTCTCATTTACATAAATGACCTACCAAATGCATCTCAACTACTCAAACCCACACTATTTGCAGATGACACTACATACATCTTCTCTCACCCAAGCCTAGTCATACTAGCCAATACTGTAAATAATGAATTATAGAAAATATCTACCTGGATGATGATTAACAAGCTTACTCTCAATATTGACAAAACCTATTTCATTTAGTTTGGGAACAGAACTACAAATGTTCCCCTTAACATAATGATAAATGGAACACCTATCACAAAAGTCAGAGGGAAAATTCTTAGGAATCCACCTTGATAAGAGCCTCATATTTCAGACACACGTACAACAAATTTCCAAGAAAGTCTCAAAGACCGTAGGCATACTATTGAAGATACGGTACTATGTTCCACAATCAGCTCCCCTTGCCCTGTATCACTCACTTATTTACCCCTATCTCACCTATGGAATCTGTGTATGGGGCTCAAGAACAATAAATCATCTCAGACCATTAATTACCTAGCAAAAGGCTGCAGTCAGAATGATAACAAATTCCCACTCTAGACAGCACACTCCACCAATATTCAAAAGTCCAAACTTACTCACCATACAAAACATCCATACTTATTATTGTGCCTACCACTTACACAGAACACTAAACTCAGATATAAACCCTCCCCTCAAACTTCTCCTTACCAACCTTAATAGAATACACAACCATAACACAAGACACAGATCACTCTTTGATGTTCCCCATGTCCATCTCACACTATGTAAAAACTCAATGCACATAAAAGGCCCAAAAATTTGGAATTCATTACCAGTGATTACCAAAGAAACACTGTATATCAATTCAAGACTCTTCTTAAAAACCACCTATTCACCCAAAACTAAATACACAGTACTTAATTTAACTTTACCTACATAATTAACGAATCACTTTCTACTGCCTCAAAATATCATTACTTACTGTGTTACTCCCCTAGCCTTAGGACCCCATAAATAAATGCTCAAAGATCAATAAATTCTCATATCTAATCCAACGCAAATATTGAATAACTTATATTTCATAAATGTATAACCCAGTTGTATAATTAGAGAAACCTTATCAAACTATATTTTTATAGCATTACCATTCTCTTGAATGCACTGTAACTCATCTAATGACCATATGAACTACAGATCACTACAGATCACTGATTTGATTTGATTAGATCTGATTAATAAATTGTACAACTACATATAGTAAATTGATCATTTTGTTATATTATTCACAGTATTTTTTTTTTATTATCACACTGGCCGATTCCCACCAAGGCAGGGTGGCCCGAAAAAGAAAAACTTTCACCATCATTCACTCCATCACTGTCTTGCCAGAAGGGTGCTTTACACTACAGTTTTTAAACTGCAACATTAACACCCCTCCTTCAGAGTGCAGGCACTGTACTTCCCATCTCCAGGACTCAAGTCCGGCCTGCCGGTTTCCCTGAACCCCTTCATAAATGTTACTTTGCTCACACTCCAACAGCACGTCAAGTATTAAAAACCATTTGTCTCCATTCACTCCTATCAAACACGCTCACGCATGCCTGCTGGAAGTCCAAGCCCCTCGCACACAAAACCTCCTTTACCCCCTCCCTCCAACCTTTCCTAGGCCGACCCCTACCCCGCCTTCCTTCCACTACAGACTGATACACTCTTGAGTTATTCTGTTTCGCTCCATTCTCTCCACATGTCCGAACCACCTCAACAACCCTTCCTCAGCCCTCTGGACAACACTTTTGGTAATCCCGCACCTCCTCCTAACTTCCAAACTACGAATTCTCTGCATTATATTCACACCACACATTGCTCTCAGACATGACATCTCCACTGCCTCCAGCCTTCTCCTCGCTGCAACATTCATCACCCATGCTTCACACCCATATAAGAGCGTTGGTAAAACTATACTCTCATACATTCCCCTCTTTGCCTCCAAGGACAAAGTTCTTTGTCTCCACAGACTCCTAAGTGCACCACTCACCCTTTTCCCCTCATCAGTTCTATGATTCACCTCATCTTTCAAAGACCCATCCGCTGACACGTCCACTCCCAAATATCTGAATACATTCACCTCCTCCATACTCTCTCCCTCCAATCTGATATCCAAACTTTCATCACCTAATCTTTTTGTTATCCTCATAACCTTACTCTTTCCTGTATTCACTTTCAATTTTCTTCTTTTGCACACCCTACCAAATTCATCCACCAATCTCTGCAACTTCTCTTCAGAATCTCCCAAGAGCACAGTGTCATCAGCAAAGAGCAACTGTGACAACTCCCACTTTATGTGTGATTCTTTATCTTTTAACTCCACGCCTCTTGCCAAGATCCTCGCATTTACTTCTCTTACAACCCCATCTATAAATATATTAAACAACCACGGTGACATCACACATCCTTGTCTAAGGCCTACTTTTACTGGGAAATAATTTCCCTCTTTCCTACATACTCTAACTTGAGCCTCACTATCCTCGTAAAAACTCTTCACTGCTTTCAGTAACCTACCTCCTACACCATACACCTGCAACATCTGCCACATTGCCCCCCTATCCACCCTGTCATACGCCTTTTCCAAATCCATAAATGCCACTAAGACCTCTTTAGCCTTATCTAAATACTGAAATACTGTTCACTTATATGTTTCACTGTAAACACCTGGTCCACACACCCCCTACCTTTCCTAAAGCCTCCTTGTTCATCTGCTATCCTATTCTCCGTCTTACTCTTAATTCTTTCAATAATAACTCTACCATACACTTTACCAGGTATACTCAACAGACTTATCCCCCTATAATTTTTGCACTCTCTTTTATCCCCTTTGCCTTTATACAAAGGAACTATGCACAGTAATGTTACAAAATTGTAAAACTATAATGCTACAAAATTGAAATGTTCAAATTTAATTGTTTAAAATACTCATTTGTACTTGATACTGTAAATTGTTTACTGTAACTGTTACCATTAAATCTATTATAGCATAGATTATCTTAAGTTAATTTTAAGCCTGCCCATAATGCTCTGCATACAAGGGGCTTTTGACATGTACACCCAACTACTATACTACCTTGTACAACTATGTATCATGTCCTAATAAACTATTATTATTATTATTATTACTTAACAACATACAGTGGACCCCCGGTTAACGATATTTTTTCACTCCAGAAGTATGTTCAGGTGCCAGTACTGACCGAATTTGTTCCCATAAGGAATATTGTGAAGTAGATTAGCCCATTTCAGACCCCCAAACATACACGTACAAACGCACTTACATAAATACTCTTACATAATTGGTCGCATTCGGAGGTGATCGTTATGCAGGGGTCCACTGTACTATAGTTTTAAAATAAAATTCAATATCATACCAATAGTTTAACTTGAATAGTTCAGCTTTAACAAAAATCACAGAATGTCATAAAAAATAAACTTACCAAGCGTTTTCTAGATGGAGTCGTTTCGTCATCAGGCTTTACTTTCTTCTTTTTCCTTATATAGTCGAAACCACTTCTAAACTTGCGGAATTTTCGTCGCGCTCTCTTGGCTGCCCGTGGAACAGATGATTCTCCTAGCACAGACTCAGAACGCTCACTACGCAGCTCTGAGTCATCATCTCCATCTCCCTGAGCTAGTAAAGACCCACCAGGAGTACTTGCACGACTTACAGGAACTGGAGAACACGCATCTTTTACTGAAATTTTTAATTCATCTTTTTTCTCTGTCTTCTTTAATTTCTTACATTTCTTAGTCTCAGTTTTCTTGATTAGATGAATGGGAATGTCTGTGCCAAAAACAGATCTCAACGTGGCAGCATCTTGAATCTGCTTTGCCTTGTTACGTGTTCTTGATTGATACAAGATTGGTGTAAATTCATTTATCCCATTCTTTGTCACAACAACTTCAAAGTTATCTCTGTAATTACTAACGGTTTCTTTCCTGAAAAATGTGGCAATCTTAAGATGATCTGGTGACATATCTTCAAGATCCTTTTCTGTTGTGGGCATTCCAGGTGTGGGCAAGAGTTGAGGTTTGTTTTTAGCTTCCAGTATTAATCTAGCTTTGTTGAGGCACTGCGTGTTGAGCTTTTTATTATTATATTTACGGCCAAATTTTTTTAGCAGGCTGCTAGCTATAGATCTTCGTGACACTGGGATACTGTCAGATGCAGGAAGGTCAGTTCTGAGGCTAGCTAGTGAGTCCAAATCAGAGTCATCACTAGCCATCATAGAAGGAGCTACTGATGGTGTTGGTGTAAGGCCTGTAGGCGTTCTTTGCGTAGCAAAAGCAGAAAATGGACCAAGAGTGAATTTTTTGGATGCAAGTCCACCCTTGGTGCTATCACTTCCAGATTCAGCCAAAACCTTCTCAAAAAATCTCTGCATAACACTGCTAATCTCTGGTCGTGCTGCTACCTTCAATCTGTCATCTTCTGCTACTGCCATGCTTGTCTTGATTATGCCAGATTTACTACGAGTATTTTTAGCAGGAGATGATCCTGATTCACGATCTTTACTTTTTTTGGAGTTAATTTTATTAGAAGAGACAGAGCTCTGATGTTTAGCAGCTTGGCAAAGTTTCTTAGGAAACCTTGCTGTAACTTCTTTGTATTTTTTCACTTCATTCTGCCATCCATGGAGGAAATCATCCCCTGCTCCAAATTCAGGTTTTTTCCAATAATGCCTCAATGCTGTCTCCTGAAGGTTTCCAAGTTGTTTCTTCATGTCATTATTTACTTCACTTAGCCACACTTTCATTTCTTTCACATCTTCTCTGTTTAATTCGTCATCTCTAATTTTCCTCAACTTTTCAATGACAGAGTCATTTTCAAACTCTCTTTTATCTTCAAAATCTAGAGTCTCATCCTGTAATTCTTCTTTAACTTCTTTTTTAATGGAATTTTCCATATCTGCAATATCACATGCCTCATCTTTATTTTGCTTTTCATCTGAGCTCTTTTCTTCTGTATCACTCTTTTTCAAATCATCACTTTCATCACTATCAACAATAAGGTTGCTCTTTGAATGATTTTTCTTTTTGGTTGGAATGTCAGAATTTTCACTACTGTCTTCAGCAGACTTTTTAGTCTTCTTTTTGCTATCTCTTTTTCTTCGATAAATTTTATTTTTGTTCTCATTTGTTTCATCAAATTCTGAGGAAGAGCTTCCACTCATCTGCTTTCTTCTTTTGCCTCTTTTTGATTCTTGAAGTTTTCTCTTCATGCCTCGAGTCTTTCTTGATATTACTTCTGCCTCTGAATCTTCATCCGAATCTTCCCTTTTATTTTTGTTCTGTTGTTTTCGGCCTGTTACACCTTTTTTCTTTCCCTTTCTTGCTCCAATGTCATCATCATCATCAGATCCCCATGTTTTCTTCTTGCATTTCCTTACCTTCAACAACATTTCCTCTGAATCACTTGAATCCTGCTTCTTCTTTCTCTTTTTATTTTTGTGGGACTCTTTATATGTCTCCAAATCACTTGAGGATTTGTATCCTCCTCTTGTTCTTCTCCTAGGTAATATTTCTTCTGAATCACTGCTATCACTATCCCATTTTCTACCCCTTCTTCTTGGTTCTTCTTCACTGTCAGAACTCCTTCCTTTTCTTCGTGGCCTTGCTACCTCATCTGAATCAGAGTCTTCACTATCAGAATCATCACTACTGACAGAACTGCTATCACTCTCACTATCACTGCTAAGGGAAAAGTCAGAGTCTTGCTTATTATTAGGTTTGTTTTCCTTATTTCTTCCCCTTCCATAGCAACCCTTTCTGTTTCTTCTTTCACTTTCACTCCCACTGCTTATATAACCTTTTGCTAACTTCCGTGAATGGCCTCGTCTTTTGTCTTTTGATCTTATTTCTCTTTTCAATTCCTCCTCAAAATCACTAGCATCTTCATCAGGAATCATTTCTGTGGCACTCTCATCAGAATGTGATGCATAAGTAAGAATTAAACGTTCTACTTTTTTATCCTTGATGCTCTTAAATTTCCCACGGAATTTAACTGGTGGTTCAGGTTCACTTTCCTCCTCCTCTTCAAAAGCATCTGCAGGAGGTGGTACAATGAGATCATTGTCAATAGCATGCTGTATTTGAATTTTCTGTAAATATCTCCTTCCTAGTGTTTTGCTTTTCTTGCTTGTTACCCCTTCAAGATTCAATGCTAAATCATTAATGAACTTATTTATACTCAGGTCCCATTCACTTTCCACTGATGGCTCTTCCTTCTTGATTGTGCAAGGCTCTTGTATACATACTTTTTTGCTTAGAAGAGACTCAAGGTTATCAACACTCTGAATTTTTCTTTGAAGTTTCTCAGCTAAAGCTGCTTTGCCTGGCTCTAGTATCTTGCTTGTATCCTCTGGCTGGTCTGATTTATGACTTTCTTCTTCCTTGAATTCAAAAACAGTGGAAGTCTTTGGTTCACCTTGACTATCACTAACAAGTGAAGGTTGAGTGGGTTGTTCTGCAACATTGTAAGGTACATTTTCAATTCGATTATTAGGATGAGGCTGGTTGCCCTTAACCCCTGGGGTATAGCGGGTCCAAGGCTCCAATCTGATGCCACTCTCAGCATTCCGAGGGTCAAATGCTTTTTGCTCACCTTTCGTACGTATTCGCAATAAATCATAATCCTGCGAAGTCCTGGCTTTCACTAATGATGGCACTGGTTGGTGGATTGTAGGATCAAGTTGACCTTTACTCAGTAGCTTATCCTGTCTGGCTACAGAGTATTTAGAGGGATGCATATGCTTAGGATACTGAGAGGCACCAGGAACATCTTCAAGCTTGACAGATGAATGTGGAAGCCTTGTTGGCTGGCACTGTGGGTTCTGGGCATGATGAGGATGACCTTGAGGAGGATGAGGCTGAGAGGAATTAGAAATGTTTCTATAAGAAGGATGAGATGTACGGGACTGAGAGGTGAGTGGCCGAATAGTCTGCTGGGATGGATACATAGAGTGACACACTCGTGTAGCATGTGGTAAACGCATCTGAGAAGTACCAAGATGTGAAGTGTGGGCCCTCTGAGAGCCAGACTGAGAATTCTGTGTTTGACCACGACAAAGATGAGCATGAGATGGAGAGGGATGTGACTGAGCTTGTGCATGATGAGAGTAAGACTGAGAAGTATGAGGATAAGACTGAGAGGAATGGGAATAAGACTGAGAAGGATGGGGATGAGACAGATGAACATGCTGCTGAGAAGGTTGGGGCTGAGGTTGGGAAGGACGTGGAGAAGTCCGAGATGGAAGAACTGTAGCTTGAGATGGAAGAGGAAGGGATGGGTGAGAATGAGCCTGAGAGGTATGGGAATAAGTTTGGGATTGATGGGAAGAACCTTGTGCATATGAAGGGGCTTGAGAAGGGCGAGAGGGGACCTGAGGAGAATGGCGATGCATTTGAGAAGAGAAGGAGGAACCTTGGGAAGGGTGATGACTTTGAAAATGATGGGAGAGAACTTTAGAGGAAGAAGGTGGACCTTTGGAGGCATGAGAGTAAACTTGAGAAGGATGAGTAGCTTGAGAGGAATGAGGAGCCTGGGAGGAATGAGGAGCCTGGGAAGGATAAGAAGCCTGGGAGGGATGAGGAACATGGGAAGAAGGAGCAGCCTGAGAGGGATGAGGAATGTGGGAGGGATGAGGAACCTGAGAAGAATGAGGAGCCTGAGAAGGATGAGGAACATGGGAGGGAGGAGCAGCCTGAGAGGGATGAGGAACATGGGAGGGAGGAGAAGCCTGAGAGGGATGAGGAGCCTGAGAGGGATGAGGAACATGGGAGGGAGGAGGAGCCTGGGAGGGATGAAGAACATGGGAGGGAGGAGCAGCTTGAGAGGGATGAGAAGCTTGAGAGGGATGAGGAGCATGAGAGGAATGGGGAGCATGAGAGGAATGAGGAGCTTGAGAGGGATGAGGAGCTTGAGAGGGATGAGGTGCTTGAGAGGGATGAGGTGCTTGAGAGGGATGAAGAGCTTGAGAGGGATGAGAAGCTTGAGAGGAATGAGAGGCTTGAGAGGGATGAGGTGCTTGAGGAGGATAATGAGCCTGAGAGGGATGGGGAGCTTGGGAGGGATAAGGAGCTTGAGAGGGATGAGCTTGGGAGGGATAAGGAGCTTGAGAGGGATGGGGAGCTTGGGAGGGATAAGGAGCTTGAGAGGGATGAGGAGCAGTGTGAGAGGGATGAGGAGCAGCTTGAAAGGGATGATAAGAACCCTGAGAGGATCGAGAAGCAGCATGAAAGGAAAGAGAAGCTAGGGATGTATGAGGAGCTTGAGAGGGATGAGAAGCAGCTTGAGAGGGATGAGTAGCTTGAGAGGGATGAGCAGCTTGAGGGGGATGAGGAGCAGCTTGAGAGGGATGAGGAACAGCTTGAGAGAGATGAGGAGAAGCTTGAGAAGGATGGGAAGCCTGAGAGGGGTGAGGAGGAGCTTGAGAGGGATGAGCAGCAGCTTGAGAGGGATGAAAAGGAGTCTGAGAGGGATGAGGTGTTTGAGAAGGATGCAGAGCAGATTGAGAGGGAGGAAGAGATTGAGAGGGATGAGGAGCAGCTTGAGAGGAATGAGTAGTAGCTTGAGAAGGATGAACAGCAGGTTGAGAAGGATGAACAGCAGGTTGAGAAGGATGAACAGCAGCTTGAGAGGGATGAGCAGCAGCTTGAGAGGGATGAACAGTAGCTTGAGAGGGATGAGCAGCAGCTTGATAGGGGTGTGACATATTTTGAGAGGGATGGGGGGAGAGTTGAGGAGGGAAGGGGTAAGAATGATGATAGGTATGTTTGTCAGAAGGATGGGGAGGGGAATGGAAAGGCAAATGTTTTGATAGATAGGACACTTGAGAAGCATAACGAGCTTGAGAAAGATGGAGAGAAGTGGCTGGAGGTGCCTGTGAAGGATGACTTGAGGCTTGAGTGGGAAGAGCTGCTCTAGTTTGTGAAGGCTGAGTTACAACTTCTGAGTGCTGCTGCTGGGCCGACTGAACAGTAACCTGAGAGGAAAGGGGGAGAACTTGGCGTGAATGTAGGGATGAGTGGGAGGGAGCTTGGGGAACATGAGATGCAGCCTGAGAAAAATAAGAGGGACCATGAGAAGTGTGAGAGGTAGCTTGAGAAGTGTGAGAGGGAGCCTGGGAAATGTGAGAGGGAACTTGGGAAGTGTGAGAGGGAGCTTGGGAAGTGTGAGAGGGAGCTTGGGAAGTGTGAGAGGGAGTTTGGGAAGTGTGAGAAGGAGCTTGGGAAGTGTGAGAAGGAGCTTGGGAAGTGTGAGAGGGAGCTTGGGAAGTGTGAGAGGGAGCTTGGGAAGTGTTAGAGGGAGCTTGGGAAGTGTGAGAGGGAGCTTGGGAAGTGTGAGAGGGAGCTTGGGAAGTGTGAGAGGGAGCTTGGGAAGTGTGAGAGGGAGCTTGGGAAGAGTGAGAGGGAGCTTGGGAAGAGTGAGAGAGAGCTTCAAAAGTGTGAGAGGGAGCTTGGGAAGTATGAGAAGGAGTTTGGGAAGTGAGAGAGGGAGCTTGGGAAGAGTGAGAGGAAGCTTGGGAAGTGTGAGAGGAAGCTTGGGAAGTGTGAGAGGGAGTTTGGGAAGTGTGAGAGGGAGCTTGGGAAGTAAGAGAGGGAGCTTCTAAAGTAAGAGAGAGAGCTTGGGAAGTAAGAGAGAGAGCTTGGGAAGCAAGAGAGGGAGCTTGGGAAGTAAGAGAGGGAGCTTGGGTGGTAAGAGTGGAAACCTGGGAAGTAAGAGAGGGAGCTTGGGAAGTAAGAGAGGGAGCTTGGGAAGTAAGAGAGGGAGCTTGGGAAATAAGAGAGGGAGCTTGGGAAATAAGAGAGGGAGCTTGGGCAATAAGAGAGGAAGCTTGGGAAGTAAGAGAGGTAGCTTGGGAAGTAAGAGAGGGAGCTTGGGCAATAAGAGAGGGAGCTTGGGAAGTAAGAGAGGGAGCTTGGGAAATAAGAGAGGGAGCTTGGGAAGTAAGAGAGGGAGCTTGGGAAGTAAGAGAGGGAGCTTGGGAAGTAAGAGAGGGAGCTTGGGAAGTAAGAGAGGGAGCTTGGGAAGTAAGAGAGGGAGTTTGGGAAGTAAGAAAGGGAGCTTGGGAAGTAAGAGAGGGAGCTTGGGAAGTAAGAGAGAGAGCTTGGGAAGTAAGAGAGGGAGCTTGGGAAGTAAGAGAGGGAGCTTGGGAAGTAAGAGTAGGAGCTTGGGAAGCAAGAGAGGGAGCTTGGGAAGTAAGAGAGGGAGCTTGGGAAGTAAGAGAGGGAGCTTGGGAAGTAAGAGAGGGAGCTTGGGAAGTAAGAGAGGGAGCTTGGGAAGTAAGAGAGGGAGCTTGGGAAGTAAAAGAGGGAGGTTGTGAAGTAAGAGAGGGAGTTTGGGAAGTAAGAGAGGGAGTTTGGGAAGTAAGAGAAGAAGCTTGAGAAGTAAGAGAGGGAGCTTGAGAAGTAAGAGAAGGAGGTTGGGAAGTAAGAAAGGGAGCTTGGGAAGTAAGAGAGGGAGCTTGGGAAGTAAGACAGGGAGCTTGGGCAGTAAATGAGGGAGCTTGGGAAGTAAGAGGGGGAGCTTGGGAAGTAAGAGAGGGAGCTTGGGAAGTAAGAGAGGGAGCTTGGGAAGAGTCACAGGAAGCTTGGGAAGAATGAGAAAGTCCTAGGGTAAAGTGAGGAGGAGCTTGTGAGAAATTAGACTGTGCTTGGGTAGAGTGAGAAAAAGCTTGGGCAAAATGAGGGGGAGCTTGGTAAGAGTGAGAGGGAGCTTGGTAAGAGTGAGAGGGAGCTTGGAAAGTGAGAGCAGCAGCTTGGGAGAAATGAGGATCTTGGGAAAAATGTGAGGAAACTTGAGAAGAATGAGAAGCAGCTTGGGATGTGTGATAGTGAGCTTGAGAAGTAAAAGGGGGAGCTTGGGAAGTGTGTGAAGGAGCTTGGGAAGTGTGAGAGGGAGTTTGGGAAGTGTGAGAGGGAGCTTGGGAAGTGTATGAGGGAACTTGGGAAGTGTGAGAGGGAGCTTGGGAAGTGTTTGAGGGAACTTGGGAAGTATGTAAGGGAACTTGGGAAGTATGTGAGGGAGCTTGGGAAGTGTGTGAGAGAGCTTGAGAAGTATGTAAGAGAGCTTGGGAAGTGCGTAAGGGAGCTTGGGAAGTGTGAGAGGGAGCTTGGGAGGTGTGAGAGGGAACTTGGGAAGTTTGTGAATGAGCTTGTGAAGTGTGAGAGGAAGTTCTAGTATAATGGGTAGAAGCCTGGGAAGTATAGGGAGGAGCTTGAGATGAATGATGTAGAGTTTGCGAAGAAAGTGAGGCAGTAACATAAGAAAAGTGAGAGTGGGAAGAGTGTGATGAATGAGGGTGCGCTTGAGAAGTGTTGGGAAATGTCTGTGAGGGATGAGAGGAAAGCTGTGAATTAGGATGATCACGGGTAGAAGAATGAACTTGTAAGGGATAGTTATAAGCTTGAGAATTGTGCATATGGATTTGTGGGTGAAGCTGAGAGGGTTGTGTGAGGGGTGGGCATGCCTGTGAAGGAGTAGCTTGCAAGTTATGTGGCTGTAGTGGATGTTGTGCATGAGCTTGGGAGAAGTAGCCCTGAGCTGCATGATCCTCTACATGTGGCCCCTGATGAACTCCATGAGGCTCACTGGGTCGAGTCATATGTACATGTGATGGATGAGTAGATGACACCTGAGAAGCTTGTGCTTTTAATGGAGGGTTACAATGTGGATGAGTTGGATGAATAGATGGTGCTGCTACTGATGGTGGTCTTGCTGGTGGTGTGGAGTGTGGTGGGTAAGTCTGGTGAGCTGAATATGGACTAGGAGGGAGACTTCCTGGATAAGAAAGACTTGAATGCTGTGGTGAAGAACTTGCTGGAATCTTCTGGGGATGTGGAGAAGACCGAGGGGTTCTACCCTGCTGGCATGGATGAGGAGACACACCAGAACGTGGTGATGCTGCTACTGAATGTGGAGAAGCTGATGGATGTGGAGACGCGGCTAGATGTGGCGACACGGAAAGATGTGGAGATACAGAAGAATGTGGCGAGCCAGAAGGATGAGGAGATGTTTGATTTGATCGCTTGCCTACATACAAGGAATGAGATGCTTCATTACGCTGTTGAGTATATAAATATGCTTGTTGAGCTGCCTGCTGTGGTGTGAGATGTGGTGGCGGTGGTAGAGAAACTGCTGTTAATGATTTCATAGCTTGAGGAATATTAAATGGTGAAGGTTGCGTAGTTAACCGCTGCTGCTGTCTCTGCTGTTGACTTGCCGTATACGGATACTGGTAAGATTGTGTTACAGACGTAGTTACAGAAGGCTGAGAAGAGTGACTACTAACGTGTGCTGATGAAGCCTGTGGCATTCTACTTGTGGCTGGCTGAGTATATGGCTTTTGCATTTTCCCTTGCACTGAATGTTCCACATTCACTTGTGAGTGATGCACAGGAGAAATAGTACGTGCTGACTGGGAGTATGGAGTCTGAGGTAGTCTTATGTCTGGAGGACGTCCATAAGTTGAATAAGGATGAGGAGGTTGAGCAGAAGAAACCCTTGAACCTTGAGGTAAAGTGCTAGGGACGGAAGTTGGTATAGGGTATTGTTCTGATAAATATTTTGTTTTATCACTGTTGGACTTGGACTGCTCAGAAATGTTCACCCATGCTCTGTAATTATCACAAACATCTGAATGCTTTCCATGCATATACTTTGGATCCATAGCAGAGTTAAGAGTCCATTTTTCTAAACTTAATTCTTTCCTGTCAAGAAATGGATCTCTTCTTTCAAGACTTGGATTTCTTCTTTCAAGACTTGGATTTCTTCTTTCAAGACTTGGATCTCTTCTTTCAAGACTTGGATCTCTTCTTTCAAGACTTGGATCTCTTCTTTCAAGACTTGGATCTCTTCTTTCAAGACTTGGATCTCTTCTTTCAAGACTTGGATCTCTTCTTTCAAGACTTGGATCTCTTCTTTCAAGACTTGGATCTCTTCTTTCAAGACATGGATCTCTTCTTTCAAGACATGGATCTCTTCTTTCAAGACCTGGATCTCTTCTTTCAAGACCTAGATCTCTTCTTTCAAGACCTGGATCTCTTCTTTCAAAACTTGGATCTCTTCCTTCAAGACTTGGATCTCTTCCTTCAAGACTTGGAACTCTTCCTTCAAGACTTGTATCTCTTCCTTCAAGACTTGGATCTCTTCTTTCTATTGCAGGATTCCTATTAATCCTTCTTTCTAAGCTTTTATCTCTTAATTCATTACCAGAATCTCTCCTTTCTAAACTTGGCTGCCTTCTATCAGTACCAGGTTCTCTGCCATATCGAATATCAAGTTCTGTTTTCAGTGTTGCTGCTGCTAGGAGATGGAGACCACGATTTTGATCTGAGAGCGAGTCTTTGTGTGCACTGTACATAGATTTATTGTGTGGATGAGCAGATAAATGAGCATCAGCTAACTGTCTAGATGGGATGCTTGACTTCGAAGGTGGTGTATGACTTCTTCGAGGTAGCTTAGCATAGTTATCCAAATATACTGGGTCACCTGCACGCTTAACAGAAGATAATGTGTGAGAATGCCGTGCAAGTGGGTTCGATGATGGTAGAGGACTAGGAGAACCGTTTATCCCATACTGTGTAGATACATGAGATGGAGGTGTTGCTCTTGGAGTCCCTGAAATGCTTGGAGCAACCTTGGGTACATCTCTCTGAGTTGCCGATGGGATTTTATTAGCCTTATTTGGTGAAGTGACAGGAACAGAGCTTGGAGTACATGTAAGATCACTTTGGCATAGTTTTTCAATAGTTACTCCACTCATAAGAGGAGCACTAAAACTGTGTTCAAGATCTGGAGCAGTTGAATCTGCAGTTTGTCTCACAGTTTTGACAGAGAGATCTAGGGCAGAATCTTCCTTTGGACAGGAAGCTGTTGGTTTACCTCTTGAAGACTCTCTCTGTTTGTCTAAGGAATAGGAGCTGTGAGATCCATTAGGATACAATGAGTCACGTGACCCATTGACTTGCAAACTTTCTACACTCCTAATATAGGGATCATCTGATTGTTTTACACTTGCTATATCATCAACCTTCTTTCCTAAATAAAGAGCATCCTTGGAGCCGTTCACACTAATGGGGGTTACAGCAATGTGGACGGATGGAGCCAATTTCTCCAAGGGTTTGGCTTCAGGAGCCCTATACAGTTGACCCCACTGTTCATGATGTAAATCTACTTTTGGATCTGATTGCGTCTCGAGTGTCCGAAGGTTTGACCTAGTTTCAGTTCTAGGTGGATATTTACTGTCTAAATGATTTTGGGGATCTGAAGATAAGGATTGAGAGATAAATGAATGAGAATGTGTCCTTAAGTCACTGGAAGGAGCAGACTGAGAGCTGTATGGTCGTGCAGGGATTTTTGAATCTCCCTTTATACCAGAATGTGTGCTGTATGGTCGATTAGGCCGTAATTCTGCTGAACTAGGAGCTTGAGTTGTGTATGGATGAGAAGGTGCTCGACCTTCAGGAGATACACTTGAATGAGTAGTATACGACTGAGTTGGCATACGAGGATCTATTACAAGAGATGGTTGGCTGTTATATGGGTGAGATGGCATCCGTGAATCATGTAGGGCATTTGGCCTCGTGGGAGCTCCTGCTGTTTGCCGTAAATGTTCTAGGTGAGCCAGATAACGTGCCTCATTTGTGGTTTTTGTGGTGTGTGGTTGTAAGAAAGACACTACACTGTATGGTGAAGCAGCTTGTGTGTGATCTGGAAGCTTATGTGAAGGTGTAGCAGGTGTTATAGGGCGGCTAGGAGGCAGCAGACCAGGCAGACTAGTAGCTGTTGCAGCACCTGTAAAGCCTGAAGAGTGCTGGTATGGGTGGTAGACATGAGCAGGTGGCAGTGTGGGCGTGGCTGGGGGTGTGGGTGTGGGCGGAGCATGAGTTTGGTCCTCCAGTGTGGACCCATCATATCCACGAGTGGAAGTGGGCAGCCCTTGGAAGAATGGACGAGTATTGCCCAAGAAAGAGTCCATCTGCAAAATAACAGTTGTCTTAAAATATGGCTATAAAACATTTATAAATGAAGAAATTGTAAGAAGTAACAAGAATAAAAAATTAATGTACATATCAAATGCAATGCAATTAAATAAATACAATTTTATTTCAACTTGATAAACTCAATACTGTAAGCCCATTAAGTAACAAACTAGTAGGGGGGAGTCGCAGAGTGCCCTTAACCTTTTCAATGTCGGTCCCGTTATATTATGGCTTTGAAGCCATATAAGCTTTGAACAGTAAATTTGGGCCTAGACATGAAAGAATGGGTCTATGCAGTAAGTATGAACCCTATAAAAAAAAAATCCTGCAGCACGCAGTGCATGAAAAAAACTGCGACCATGTTTTTAGTTTAAAACAGTGAATTTGCGGTGTATTTTTGTATGGCTTTTATGATTGTAGTCTCGGTTTCTTGGTCTCATTTGGTAGAATGGAAGATATATTAAAGAAACAGTGATGATTTTGATTGGTTTCAGGACTGAAAGTAGCTTGAAACTGAGCTCAAAGTAGCAGAAATGTTTGATTTTTGTCAATATTTCAGAGTACACTTGTCTAATACATGTCCAACTGGCCTGTCTAATATGCATTTATAAATGCACTGACATTATTTACACAATTATTACTATAATGCAATAGTCAGTATAACTAATCTTCTATTTTTTGTGTGAATAAAAATTCAAAATGGAAAGCAAGTGTAATATGAGAAGCCTGGAGATGTGACTAATGAACAGAGGAAATGTTTTTTTAGTGCCAGGAATGTCTACAGTGTTTATTCTGGACCCTATTTTTAAAGTGGCAATTTTTTAATTTTGTGTGAAACTGACCAAGTTACCGAGTTCTAATCACTTTATTGGGTAGTTGAAATAAGTAAATGAGCAGTTTCTTGTACTCAATCATTAGAATAGAAGGAATACTAGCAAAATAGCTATGACTTTGGTCAACTGGAAGAATGGAATTGGCGACAAATAGGACGCAAAGTGGGTGAAATCGCTGATGCGTAAATATCACAAAGATCACTAACTTTCTGAGAGCATAATTCCGTACATTTTTCATCAAGTTTTGTACTTTTGGTTTCATTACCTTCAGAAAAAGATTCTCTATCATTTTATAAGAATTTTTTTTTAATTCTGCGACCCCAAGAACAAGTTTGAGTGCAGGGGTCGTGACCCTGAAAGGGTTAAATCAGAAAAATTTTAAAAATACAAAAAAAGGTGCAAAAGTACTCTAATGTATACCTAATATAGTACTATGCATATAATTTACTGATTACTAAAATAAAATTTGAAAATCAATGAGTTAAAAGTGCAATTTGCACAGTGGTGTAAACTCCAGTGGATTTTGCCTGTTATTTCATAAGTTTGTTACATCAAGGTCCATTAAATTGATGGTTTACTGTATTGTATAAACTGAATCAAAATGTATTAAGTAGTATACACCAAATGTATGTGAATACGTATACTGTGGTACCTCGGGATACGAACAGCTCAAAATTCGAACAATTATGTAAGTGTATTTATGTAAATGCTTTTGTAAGTGCATTTTTGGGGGTCTGAAATGGATTAATCTAATTTACATTATTCCTTATGGGAACAAATTCGTTCGGTATCAGCACTCAAACAACTTGTCGGTTTTTCAAACCATTCATCACAGCCCTCTTGAACGAAATAAATTTGTATCCCGAGGTACCACTGTATATGAATTTTTTTTTTTTTCCAACAAACCGGCCATATCCCACCAAGGCAGGGTGGCCCAAAAAGAAAAACGAAAGTTTCTCTTTTTAAATTTAGTAATTTATACGGGAGAAGGGGTTACTAGCCCCTTGCTCCTGGCATTTTAGTCGCCTCCTACAACATGCATGGCTTACGGAGGAAGAATTCTGTTCCACTTCCCCATAGAGATAAGAGGAAATAAACAAGAACAAGAACTAGAAAGAAAATAGAAGAAAACCCAGAGGGGTGTGTATATATATGCTTGTACATGTATGTGTAGTGTGACCTAAGTGTAAGTAGAAGTAGCAAGACGTACCTGAAATCTTGCATGTTTATGAGACAGAAAAAAGGACACCAGCAATCCTACCATCATGTAAAACAATTACAGGTTTTCATTTTACACTCACCTGGCAGGACGGTAGTACCTCCCTGGGTGGTTGCTGTCTACCAACCTACTACCTAGACTGTATATAAATGTACACATTTATTCCAGTTTGTTGTGCTTTTCTTACTAGTTCCAGCTGTAACAGAACAAGTGATTTGAATAGCAGACTTCTGTCTATGTCTACTGTATATATCTTTGCCAGTAGAAACATTCTAATAGTTTCAATAAGACACAGAAAATAGGAAGGTAGCAAAGTGACAACTGACTTTCCACCACAGTATATTTCATACACAAACACTAGTTTACAGTATCAATGGCATGTACATACACTATATGCAGGGAAGGTGGTTGCTGACTACATCACAGAGACAGACGTAGTGTGATGGATACTTAGCTGTTAGTTCTCACAGATCTTGGTGCTGGGACTGCCCCTCCACTGCACACACACCTACAATAAGGTATAACTCTTTACCACACACAACACAAAAACATACAATGATGGTATAAATATATAGAAGATTCTACTTAATTAACTGTAACATCAAATTACCAAAAGTTCTTGACCTTCCCCACTTAATGAACATTTTATGTTCGTACAAACACTCAATGCCAGACAATCATCAACAAACAGATGTGAATTCACCTGAGATGCTGGTCTAATAAAACACATTACTGAGTTCCTGTACATCAGTATATTATATCCAAAACAGAAGGAAAAAAATAGCACCGATGCAGTGTACAAAAAATGTTAACAAGTGCAACCATGGTGTAATAGTATACAAACTGCAGGAAAACGGAATAACTGGAAAATTGGGCAGAGAGACTTTTAGCTTCTTAACAAATACAAGAAAAAAGAAGAAAGCAGCAGTACTAGCAACAATATCAACAGCAGCAGAAGCAGAAAAGCAGTAGCAGCAGATGCAGCAGCAAGAGCAGAACAAGCAACAGCAGAAACGGAACAGCAAAACAGCAGCATAAAGTAAAACGACAGGAAAAACAAAACACCAACAAAATGAAAATAGCAGCAAAATAAAAGTAACAAAACTAATGAAAAAAAAACAAGTACAACAACACAGCAAAACAAACGTTTTGCTCTCCAGGAGTTTTGTCAAGCTGTTACAAACAATACAAGAACACAAGGTATATACTACTGGCAGCGGCAGCGACAGTCGCCAACAACAGCAGCAGCAGTTCTCTTACTAATACTACACAGCTGATGAAGCTGCCAGCTGCCTTTATTTTGTTTAATGCTTGAAATGCAATTACTGATGATTCAAGGCATTTTCGTCTTCAGAAATTGGCTTCTTTAATCACAAGATAGGAACTGTTAAATTACATTAAATGGTTGGTAGAATTTCAGTGTTATTCATGTGCACTGTTCAAATTATCATTCCTACATGCACTGATATGTTCACTGAGACACGTTTCCAGGCTCTGTGCTGTTTCACTGATGTACATATAACTCGTCACAGCCTCCATTGGGGATTGTGTAAACACCTACATACACAGAACTGAGGTTCTTCAATTTGGTCTTAGTCAGGTCTTTGATAGATGTGCTAGTCGTGATGGTGACTAGTGTTGCCTTGCGTGAGTACTTTGGAGGGTGAGGAAAGGATGACGTGACCTGTACAAGAATAACAGAGGTTGATGGGAATGATGGTCAGTCAGTGTTACACCTGTGACTGATACTGCTCACTCTTAAACATTCTGCTAATACTTACCACCATGCACACTGGCAATATCACCAGTAACCACAGTGTAGTTATCACAGTGCAGGCACCACAGCATAGTTACCACAATGTAAGCACCGCAGCGTAGTTACCAGTGTAGGCACCACAGTGCAGTTATCAGTTCAGGCACCACAGTGAAGTTACCACAGCTTAGACACCACAGTGTAGTTGCCACAACACAGTCACCACAGCACAGACACCACAGCATAGGCACCACAGCACACACACCACAGCATAAGCACCACAGCACAGACACCATAGCATAGGCACCACACTGTAGTTACCACAGCATAGGCACCACAGTGTAGTTACCACAGCATAGGCACCACAGCGTAGGCACCACAGTGTAGGCACCACAGCGTAGGCACCACAGTGTAGGCACCACAGCGTAGGCACCACAACACAGACACCAGTGTAGACACCACAGTGTCTAAGGGCAATGTGTGGTGTAAATATTATGCAGATATGCAGAAAATTAATAGTGTGAAAATTAGGAGGTGTGGCATTACTAAAAGTATTATTCAGAGGGCTGAAGAGGGGTTATTGTGGTGGTTTGGTCATTTAGAAAGGATGGAGCAAAATAGGATAACTTGTAGGGTGTATAAATCTGTAGTGGAGGGGAGGAGGGGTAGGGGTTGCTATAGAAAAGGATGGAGGGAGGAGGTGAAAGTTGTATGTGGACATAAAGCATTCATGTCTGAGCATGTTAGATAGGAATGAATGAAAATGAATGGTTTTTGGGAGTTAACTAGCCGTTGGAGTGTGAGCAGGTTAATATTTTGTGAAGGGATTCAGGGAAACCGATTAGCCAGACTTGAGTTCTGAAAGTGGGAAGTATGGTGCCTATACATACATGTATAGTGGACCCTCGACTAACGCTATTAATCCGTTCCTGAGAGCTCATCGTTAGTCAAGTTAATTTTCCCCATAAGAAATAATGGAAATCAAATTAATCCGTGTAGGACACCCCAAAGTATGAAAAAAAAAATTGTTTTACCACATGAAATATTAATTTTAATACACACAAACTGAAGAAGACATGCACAGTTACATGACACTTACCTTTATTGAAGGTCTGGTGATGATTGTTGGGATGGGAGGAGGGGAGAGTGTTGATGGTCTTAGTGTTTAGAAGGGGAATCCCCTTCCATTAGGACTTGAGGTGGCAAGTCCTTTTCCGGGGTTACTTCCCTTCCCTTTAAATCTCTCAAACCAACCTTTGCTGGCCTTAAATTCACTCACATCACCACTAGTTGCTAGCATTTTTTTCATTAAATCGTCATGCAACTTCCTAGCCTTTTCACATATGATCGCTTGAGAGATGCTATCTCCTGCTATCTGTTTTTCGTTTATCCACACCATTAACAGTCTCTCAACATCTTCGAGTACTTGCGATCTCAGTTTCGAAAACATAGTTGCACCTTTGGCAAGAACAGCTTCCTTGATTGCCGTTTTCTTGGCCACAATAGTAGCGATGGTTGATTGGGGTCCTGTGTACAACCTGGCCAGCTCGGAGACACACACTCCACTTTCATACTTAGCAATGATCTCTTTCTTCATATCCATAGTAATTCTCACCCTTTTTGCTGTAGGGTTGGCACTAGAAGATTTCTTGGGGCCCATGATGACTTATTTTGCAGGTGCAATCACTAAAAAGGCTGTGATAACATGGAATGTTCCAACTGTATGCTTGGAAGCGACCGCGGTGGCTGGCTGGCTTGTAAACACTGGCCAGAAGTGGACGCGTCTGATGGAACAAATAGTGTTGGTCGAGTTTTTTAGTGCTAGTTGAGGCAAAAATTTTGCGTTAAAATGTATCGCTAGTCAGATTTATCATTAATCGATGCCAACGTTGGTCGAGGGTCCACTGTACTTTTAAAGGAAGGGTTTGGGATATTTGACTGTTTGGAGTGACATCTGAACTCTCATATCTGGGCGCCTCTGCAAAGACAGTGATTATGTGTGAATGATGGTGAAAGTGTTTTTTTTTTTTTTTTTTTGGGGGGGGGGGGGGTTTCACCCTGCCTCGGTGGGAGACAGCCAATGTGTTGAAAAAAAAATAAAAACAAGGAATAATTTGTGGCCCTCGATTTGTAAGTTTAGTGCTGAAGTGGCCCATGGTGTTGATGCAGTAGGACCACCCTGTTCTATATCAGAGATTTTCAAAGTGGAGACCTCCGTTTTTACTTTGTTAAATGCAGTGTAACTTTTTGTGTCACATACATTAAATCCATTTACCAACTTTTTCCAGTTATTTTGTTAACATTATTTATGCCAGTAACACAAAATGCAACTCGACACCTCTATGTACAGTACTAAGTTTATGTTCACTTACCACTGGCAATACCAGCTGAGGCGTCCCGTTGAGGCGTCCCACCACTCTGAAGTTAAGTTAGCCCACCATTCTTGTCTTAGCATTTACAGTGCATTTTTCCTTCCATGAATACTAGTTATGGTGTACCAACCTGTTAGAGAAAAATGTATTCATAATTATTTAAGTACAGTACAGTACAGTACAGTACAGCACAGCACTGCGATAACCTCTGAAGAGACTAGGAGGCTTACTTGTGACATATCGAAGGTTCCACTCTAGGAACCTGGATTCAGGAAATACTTTCCTTATTATCACCTGATCAATCAAGCTGTTGCTGCCTGCAGCCCACAGGCCTATATAGCTATAACATGTTCTAAGTGGTGTAATGCTGTCAAGAGTGAACAAAAGACACCTTATACACACAAGGTATATGACTTCATTAAGCTCTACACAGCAAAATTATGTCCTGATAAAAGTTTGTTCTGTAACAAATGTCTTTTCTTCAAATAGTTATTACAATCTGACTGACCTAGTTTCTTATTCTAGCAACTCTGTACAGTGGTCCCTCGTTTATCGTCGTTAATACATTCCTGGAAGTGTGACGATTATCGAAATAGACGATTTTCGAATCAATTTTCCCCATAAGAAATAATGTAAATACAGTGGACCCTCAGCTAACGATATTAATCCGTTCCTGAAAGTTCATCGTTAGATGAAATTATCGTTAGCTGAATTAATTTTCCCCATAAGAAATAATGGAAATAAAATTAATCCATGCAAGACACCCCAAAGTATGAAAATAAAATTTTTACCACATGAAATATTAATTTTAATACACACAAACTGACACTTACCTTTATTGAAGATCTGGTGATGATTGATGGGATGGGAGGAGGGGAGTGTGTGGAAGTTGTTAATGTTTAGAAGGGGAATCCCCTTCCATTAGGACTTGAGGTATCAAGTCCTTTTCCGGGGTTACTTCCCTTCTTCTTTTAATGCCACTAGGACCAGCTTCAGAGTCACTGGACCTCTGTCGCACAACATATCTGTCCATGGAGCCTGTACCTCCCGTTCCATTATGACTTTCCCAAAGTGGTTCACAACATTGTCAGTGTAATAGTCACCAGCATGGCTTGCAATAGCTGTGTGAGGGTGATTTTCATCCATAAAGGTTTGCACTTCAAGCCACTTTGCACACATTTCCTTAATCTTTGAAGTAGGCAACTTCTTCAATTTCTCTCTCCCCTCCTCCGAAGCAGTTTCCTCAGGTCTGGCCTCTTGCTGTTGAAGATGATCTTGCAGCTCATCAGTGGTTAGTTCTTCACTGTCCTCCTCCACCAACTCTTCCACATCCTCCCCACTAACCTCCAACCCCAAGGACTTCCCCAATGCCACAACTGATTCCACAACTGGCATACACTTCTCAGGGTTAGCCTCAAATCCTTCAAAATCCCTTTTGTCTACACATTTTGGCCTCAGTTTCTTCCAAGCAGAGTTCCAGGTCCTCTTAGTCACTCCCTCCCAAGCCTTACCTATAATGTTTACACAAATGAGGATGCTAAAGTGATCTCTCCAAAACTCTCTTAGAGTCAATCGAGTTTCTGTGGTCACTACAAAGCACTTTTGAAACAGCTTTTGTGTAGAGTTTTTTGAAGTTTGAAAGGTCCTGCTGGTCCATGGGCTGCAGGAGAGGAGTGGTATTAGGAGGCAAAAACTTGACCTTAATGAAGCTCATGTCCCCAGAAAGTCGCTCTGCCAAGTCTGAAGGATGAACAGGAGCAGTCTAATACCAGGAGGCACTTAAGGTCCAATTTATTTTCCAGGAGGTAATTTTTCACAGTGGGGGCAAATGCATGGTGCAACCAGTCATAGAAAAGGTCTCTAGTGACCCATGCCTTACTGTTTGCCCTCCACATCACACACAAATTAGCCTTGAGGACATTATTTCTCCTGAACACTCTGGGAGTTTCAGAGTGATACACCAATAAAGGCTTCACTTTGCATTAGCACACATCAAGAGAGTAAGCCTGTCTTTCACAGGCTTATGTCCTGGGAGTGCCTTTTCCTCCTGAGTAATGTAGATCCTGTTTGGCATTTTCTTCCAAAACAGGCCTGTTTCGTCGCAATTAAACACTTGTTCAGGTTTCAATTCTTCACTATGTAATCCTTGAATTCCTTCACATATTTTTCAGCCACTTTTTGGTCCGAACTGGCAGCCTCACCATGCCTTATCACACTATGTATGCCACTACGATTCTCAAATCTCTCAAACCAACCTTTGCTGGCCTTAAATTCACTCATATCACCACTAGTTGCAGGCATTTTTCTAATTAAATCCTCATGCAACTTCCTAGCCTTTTCACATATGATCGCCTGAGAGATGCTATCTCCTGCTATCTGTTTTTCGTTTATCCACACCAATAACAGTCTCTCAACATCTTCTATCACTTGCAATCTCTTATTCAAAAACAAAGTTTGACCTTTCGCAAGAACAGCTTCCTTGATTGTATTTTCTTGGCCACAATAGTAGCGATGGTTGATTGGGGTTTGGTATACAACCTGGCCAGCTCCGAGACACGCACTCCACTTTCATACTTAGCAATTATCTCTTCCTTCATTTTTTTTTTTTCAACAAATCGCCCGTCTCCCACCGAGGCAGGGTGACCCAAAAAGAAAGAAAATCCCCAAAAAGAAAATACTTTCATCATCATTCAACACTTTCATCTCACTCACACATAATCACTGTTTTTGCAGAGGTGCTCAGAACACAACAGTTTAGAAGCATATACGTATAAAGATATACGACATACCCCTCCAAACTGCTAATATCCCAAAACCCCTCCTTTAGAGTGCAGGCATTGTACTTCCCATTTCCAGGACTCAAGTCCGGCTATATAAAAATAATTGGTTTCCCTGAATCCCTTCACTAAATATTACCCTGCTCACACTCCAACAGATCATCAGGTCCCAAATACCATTCGTCTCCATTCACTCCTATTGAACACGCCCATGCATGACTGCTGGAAGTCCAAGCCCCTCGCCCACAAAACCTCCCTTACCCCTTCCTTCCAACCTTTTCGAGGATGACCCCTACCCCGCCTTCCTTCTCCTACAGATTTAAATGCTCTCCATGTCATTCTACTTTGATCCATTCTCTCTAAATGACCAAACCACCTCAACAACCCCTCTTCAGCCCTCTGACTAATACTTTTATTAACTCCACACCTTCTGCTAATTTCCACACTCCGAATTTTCTGCATAATATTTACACCACACATTGCCCTTAGACAGGACATCTCCACTGCCTCCAACTGCCTCCTCGCTGCTGCATTCACAACCCAAGCTTCACACCCATATAAGAGTGTTGGTACCACTATACTTTCATACATTCCCTTCTTTGCCTCCATAGATAAAGTTTTTTGACTCCACATATACCTCAATGCACCACTCACCTTTTTTCCATCATCAATTCTATGATTAACCTCATCCTTCATAAATCCATCCACCGACTCGTCAACTCCCAAGTATCTGAAAACATTCACTTCTTCCATACCCCTCCTCCCCAATTTGATATCCAATTTTTCTTTACCTAAATCACTTGATACCCTCATCACCTTACTCTTTTTTATGTTCACTTTCAACTTTCTACCTTTACACACACTCCCAAACTCATCCACTAACCTTTTTTCCATCATCAATTCTATGATTAACCTCATCCTTCATAAATCCATCCACCGACTCGTCAACTCCCAAGTATCTGAAAACATTCACTTCTTCCATACCCCTCCTCCCCAATTTGATATCCAATTTTTCTTTACCTAAATCACTTGATACCCTCATCACCTTACTCTTTTTTATGTTCACTTTCAACTTTCTACCTTTACACACACTCCCAAACTCATCCACTAACCTTTGCAATTTTTCTTTAGGATCTCCCATAAGCACAATATCATCAGCAAAAAGTAACTGTGTCAATTCCCATTTTGTATTTGATTCCCCATAATTTAATCCCACCCCTCTCCCGAACACCCTAGCATTTACTTCTTTTACAACCCCATCTATAAATATATTAAACAACCATGGTGACATTACACATCCCTGTCTAAGACCTACCTTTACCGGGAAGTAGTCTCCCTCTCTCCTACACACCCTAACCTGAGCCTCACTATCCTCATAAAAACTCTTTACAGCATTTAGTAACTTACCACCTATTCCATATACTTGCAACATCTGCCACATTGTTCCCCTACCCACTCTATCATATGCCTTTTCTAAATCCATAAATGCAATAAAAACTTCCCTACCTTTATCTAAATACTGTTCACATATATGCTTCAATGTAAACACTTGATCTACATATCCCCTACCCACTCTAAAACCTCCTTGCTCATCCGCAATCCTACATTCTGTCTTACCTCTAATTCTTTCAATAACAACCCTACCGTACGCTTTTCCTGGTATACTCAATAAACTTATTCCTCTATAATTTTTACAATCTCTTTTGTCCCCCTTCCCTTTATATAAAGGGACTATACATGCTTTTGAAACTGACGATTTTCGAAACCATTTTCCTCATAAGAAATATTGTAAATACAATTAATCCATTCCAGACACCCAGCAGTATTAAAACAATTTTTTTTACATGAAATATAGATGTAGTGCATACACAATACAATGGGACATGATGAATGAAACATAACAGCATAACACTTACCTTTATTGGCAATTCTTCTTAGTGTATGGAAGACTGGAGGAGGAGAGAGATTGGATTACTGTATTTACTGTTTGGAAGGGAAATCCCCTTCCATCAACACCTCAGATACCAAGTCCTTTTCTGGGGTTACTTCTCTTCTCTGTTTCTTAATGCCTTTAGGACCAGCTTGAGAGTCACTGGAGCCCTGTCTCGCAAAAAAAGTGTCCAGAGAGCTCTGTTTCTGGTGTCTCTTTAAAACTTCCCTAAAATGAGCCAAGACTTTGTCACTGTACAAGTTGCTGCTATGGCTTGCAACAGCCTTCTCAGGGTGATGTTTCTTCATAAATCTTTCTATCCTACCCCACATTTCAAAAATCTCCTTAATTTCTGAAGAAGGCACCTTCTTACATCTCTCTTCCTCCTCCTCTGCGGCAAGATTCTGAGCTGCGATCTGTTGC